AGTCAGAAACATTGATGAGGGAGAAACATCGATCAGCCGCCTCCTGCACACTCCCCACTGGGGATGTGCCCGCAACCAAGGTACATGCCCTTGACCGGAATCTAACCTGGGACCCTTGAGTCCACAGGCGGACGCTCTATCCACTGAGCCAAACCGGTGAGGGCTGTGCACATTTTTATAGGCGAAAAAATGAAGCTCAGAAAGGCCAAATGTCATGTCCAAGACCACACAGCTCTGTAGCTAGCAGTGTTGTGGTTAGAATCCAAGTTTCTGATTGCCGTTCCCTTGAAACAAATCAGTACTATTATAAATTAGAATCCCATTCAGTTCTAGTTACTCACTCACTCTGTGACCCATGGGCTGTTGTTTAACCTCTGGCCTGGTAGCTCAGTTGGTTAGAATGTTGTCCCAATACACCAAGGTTGCCTGTTTGATCTCCAGTCAGGGCACATACAAGAATCAAACAATGAATGCATAAATAAGTGGAGCAACACATCAATGTTTCTCTCCTTCACCCCTTCCTCTCCTTCTTTCTAAAATCAATAGATTTTTTTTTAAAAAAAGAAATCAGTTTTATAAAATGGGGATAATACTTGGACCTACCTCACAGGACTGCTTGGGATCGCATGAGATAAAGTTTCTTGGAGACTATAAAACTCAGTACAAATATAAGCTGTTATTATTATTACTGACTAGAGGGAGAAAGCAGTGGTATGAATGAGGTAAGGTATTTTAATGCTGCTTTCCTGAGCCTAGGATTTTAAATTAACCCCCAAATCTGAGCTGTTACCTTACAGTATTCTATTCTTTTTAATATAGTCTGCATGTTTTTGGGGCCTGGTTTAGTCATTAATTTACCAGCCAGGATCACAGAATTGACCTGAGTAGACTGGGCTTCCCGGGGTCAAAGATGTGTCTGAAAAGGAGACCCTGAATCATTTTGGAATTACACTTCTCTTCTTGCTGCGTTCCCAAAATTTCTGGCCCATGACAGGATCTAGAGCAGCTACTACAGGTGTCCTTAACCACTCTTCGAAGTCTAAGCATCATAGTATCTCATTTCAGCACGGGCCTGTTTTGGAAGGCCCCGAATTAGTCATGTGGGGTACTTAATAACAAATTACTGAATAGCTCTGTTCTTTGGCTCAACATTGGGCCTCCCTGTTGGAGAGCAGACCTGGGTTAGAAGAGAAATGTCTGAGGAATGTCTGAGGTTTCTCTCCTAAGAGATGAAAACAGGGGATGGGCTCAGAAGGGATGAGAGAAATGAGTTCTTTCAATCCCACATTCATCATTCAATCCACTCTCAGCGAGACATCTGTTAGTACTTAGTTGTCAATGTCAAGACACTCCTTGTTTATAAAAGCAGGTCATTTTATACCATTTTAAAAATTTATCACTGTCAAGTCCCACTAATTTTATCATAATTCTTTTCAGCACAAGGCTCTATATACAATAGATTTTCATAAATGTTGTCAGCAGCTTCTTACTCTATGGCATTCATTCACTTATTTATTCATATAAGAAACGGTTATTAACTTTTGACTCTATGTCAGACACTATGCGAGGGCTGGGGACACACAACTGTAAAGACACAGTCCCATTCTCGAGGAGCTGCTTATTTAGTTGGGGAACAGAGCGTGACTGATGACTAGAGTCAGCATAGGCTCTGTGATGGTAGGAGGCACAGAGTTCAGTGGGGCACAAGGAAGGAGTCAGGGGCCTGAGAATAGCTTCCAGAGGGAATGTTGGAGCTGATTCTTGAAGAGCAAAGGGGAGCTGAGAACATGGTTTAGGCAGAAGGAGGAGGTAAATAGGCATAACGGGCTGGTAGCACAAGGGGCCTGGAGTACAGAGAGCATGCACAGCCAGGCCATGTGTACTCTGCACTGCATCCTGCAAGCCAGTGTCTCCCTCGTTCATCAGCAGTTTGTGAATTAAATGTCAATGAAATAGAATTTAGTAAGGGTGAGTTTTGTTTCATGAAACTTACGTTTCAGTATAGGTATATGTTTGAGTGTGTGTGTGTGTGTGTGTGTGTGTGTGTGTTTTTATACATATACATGTATGTATGTACTAGTACCATGTTTAATGATAAAATACAGGGTGGGCTGCAGTGGCTGCCCCTCCATAGGGCACAGGCAGCAAACCCACCTAGATTTCAAAGAACAGAACCAATACCTCATGGAGCCATGGAGTGGTGCCACTGAGAAGGCAGGGATAGTTAGGGCAATGCCCAGTAGAGCCATGGGGGAGAGACCATTCAAAGCCATGGAAGTAGGGCCCTCAGGAGCCCAACCCATGTACAGCAAAGCTGTGAGGGCAGGACCACCACGCCAATGTGTTGGAAAACGGGATCCCTAAGGTCTAATGAATTTGCCCCACTGGGTTTGGGACTTTCTTGAGACCTGTCACTCATTTTGTCTTCTCTGTTTCTCCCTTTTGGAATGAGAAGGCCTGTCCCACCATTTTGTATTTGGGAAGCACCTGGCATGTTCGGTATCACAGGCTCACAGCAGGAGAGGAATTTGCCTCAGGATGAATCTTACTTTGAGTCTTACTTATATGTGATTTAGATGATATTTGGATGAGATCTTGGACTTCAGACTTTTGAATTGAGGCATGTGAGAAGGACATTAATTTGGGGTGTGGGCGCTGAGAGTGGAATGTTATAGATTGTTTCTTCTCCCAAATTCATGCTGCAATCCTGCATCCCTCTCCCCATGTGATGATGTTTGCAGTTGAGGCTTTTAGAAGGTGGTTTGGTCATGAGGATGGAGCTCCCTCTCTCCTTTTGCCCTGTGAGGACACAGCAAGGAAACTGCTGTGAACTAGGAAGTAGGTCCTCACAGACACCAAATCTGCTAGCACCTTGATCTTGGACTTTCTAGACTCTTCCAGAAATATGAGAAAAAAATTTCCATTGCTTATAAGTCATCCAGTGGTATTTTTCTGATAATAGCCCAAATGCACTAAAATGTGAAGTTTGGGAAGAAACTAAATACCCATCAACAGGAAATGGATGAGTTGTATTACATGGTTACAGCAGTTAAAATGAATGAATTAACTCTAAGTTCATAAACATGGATAAATCTCAGAAACACAAGGTTGAAGAGGAAAAGGCAATTTCAAGAAGTATAGCCTGGTTGGGTAGCTCAGTTGGTTAGAGTGTCAACCTAATATCCTGGTTTGATCCCTGGTCAGGGCACATACAAGAATCAACCAATGAATGCATAAAAAAGTCAAACAACAAATCGATGTTTCTCTCTCTCTCTCTCTCTCTCTCTCTCATCAATATAAATAAAAAATATAGAATAGTAACATTTATATAAAGCTTGAAAGCATTAAAAGCAATATATCAAGCTCATAATATAGAGGTACCTAATAGTAAAAAACATGCATCTAAAAGATAACATAGGTAGAAATGCATATATTGTAGCTAAGCAACCATGCCAATTAACAAAAGGCCCTCCAGTCTGGGTAATGTACTTCTGGGTCTGGGCTCAGGTTTCTGCCTCACCGCCAGGGAAATGGGACCCATTCCCCACAGCCCTCCACACTGCTTGGATGCTTCTGCACTATAACCAGAACCACCCTCCTTGTCTGTTGCATGAGTAACAGCAGGTGTGTCTGTCCCTTTAAGCAGCAAAATCATGTTGCAATCGCTGCCTGGGGGACCGGTCCTTTCCAGGGAGGTGGAGAAAATAAATAAATAAATAAATAAATAAATAAATAAATAAATAAATAAATAAATAAATAAATAAATAAATAAATAAATAAATAAATAAATAAATAAATAAATAAATAAATAAAAATTAAAATTAAGATGTGATGGGTACCAGATTTGTTTGTTTTTGTTATGCAATTCTGTAATTTTCTTGTATGTTTTAAAGATTACAAAAACTGAAATCCTTATCTGTCATGAAGGCATAAATCCTGGTACAGATCAAGAAGGATGAAACATTATAAAACTTAGGTAATGGCTGTCCTTACTTTATTTCATCATAACTTCACTTTCAGATAGTGAGAACTGGTAATTGGTGAGTTGGGAAAAAAGACAGAGATGAGGTTGAGTAAGGGCTTTTAGAACTCTTTATTACAGTTGTCAGCGAGGGTTTGGGAAACATGAAATATGAGGTATGATTTGAGAAAGGAGTTAGGCAGCCTAGTGAACACAAGGAGAAAATACCGAAGAGAATGGGATGATATGAACTGTTTGCTTGAGTAAACATTTAGGAAAGATTCGTATAAGCCAACATTTATGATTTGGTGTCCCTCATGCACATGACTCACAAATAGCTAAAATGTAGCGGAAAAACAAGAAGGAAGGAAATGCAATTTACCTTCCCAAAGCCATCACTCTCAGTTGTCTATAGCTGAAGTAGAAGAGTCACAAACAGGAAAAGAAAGAATTCCAGGATTGGGAAGGCCCTCCAGAGTGGCTCATTTCTTCTTAGAAGGGAACATGGGATCCCAGCCGGCTGGCTCTTTTTTTCATTCAGACTTTAAATGTTTTGTGGTTGAGGTTGCTTGGCACAACACTGCCTTCTACGAATAGGAAACCTGATCACAAGCTGTTTTTCCTTTGCGATGTGCCACCTACATTGTAACATGCTTTAGTGGCTAAATCATAAAGTGATGTGCTTTTCAATTCACTAGAAGAGACTCTGCATGTCACAAGTGGAGCAACTCCTGCCAGCATTTCCCTGAGTAATTCACATTGGTCACGTATTCCTCCATTAAATGTAAGATCCTAAAACAGTTAGGAGAAAGACATGTTGCTAATGTATTAGCATCTTGCAGAGTATATACACTGACTTACTGCGTGACTCTGAAAACGCTGACTCCTGCTGTCACTGATGACTCATCATTGAGTTACATACATACAACGCCCCAGTGTACAAATACACTTAACAGCTTTGAATCCCGGTTTTTCTCTTCATATTTCTAAATCAGCATCAAGAAATACAAAATCATAGGCAAGGCGAATCCTCATAGGCTACTGCCAAGAGGTTTTGTGTTTATTTTAGCATACACAAGAAATGCTTTGAATTCCTAAAATGTGGAGCAGTTCTTTTCATTAAGACTATGTATGTGGTTAGGAGAGGCTGGCCTCATAGTTCTTGTCTTTAAGGAAAGTCTTTCTTCTAGTGGGAGCACTGAAGCTAAAGTATAGTAGTCCATAAATACAACAGAGTACAAGTCTCATTTTTACTGAATAAGGCATTAAGTATAAGGCTTTTCATTTTCTTCTCTTTTCTATCATCTTCTCATATTACCTGTAAGGAAAGGCAGCATCAGAGAAACAAAAATTCCACCATTGAAAATTTATCGTTACAAAATTTTTTTTCCCCATTGATTTCAGAGAGGAAGGGAAAGGGAGATGCTGGGAGCCAGTCCATTCTTGCTGCTTGACACAGTCACTGCAGGGAAGAAACATCTGCACAGCATATGTTTCAAGGGACCTGGCATATATGGCATACTGTTCTTAATATGTTTGCTCACCTTCTTGGCGCTATGTGTTTTAACCAAGGTCACCTCTCTGAGAAAGGTTGTTTCCCCAGGTAGGAATTTCCCCCTGAAGTTAGGGAGGGAATAAAACCCCTTAACTAAGTGCCAGGCGGGTAGTTAATCACTTTAACTACGAACAATCACGCTTAAGCTACATAATCTTTACTCCCTGGAATGGAGATAAGAAACGCCCTAACCTTTGGAATAGAGATTGATAGGATTGGAATCAACTGGTATAAATACAGATGTAACAAGACAACAGGACACAGAACCTAGCGAGAGAACCTGGCTGAAGAACCTAGAGACAGAACCTAGTGAGAGAACCTAGTGAGAGAACATGGCAAAAGATCCTGGACAGAACCTGACTACAGAACTTGGCTGGAGAACCTAGACAGAACATGGCGAGAGAACCTACACAGAACCTGGCTAGAGAACCTGCAGAACCTGGCTGGAGAACCTAGCAAGAGAACATGGACACAGAACCTGGCTGGAGATCCGGACCAGAACTTGGCTGGAGTTCCTGGCTAGAGATCCTGGCTAGGCTGCTGATCAACTGAACGCTGTCTCCGTGTCATTCCTTCTTTGCCGACTCCATCCACACCTTTGGGGACCCCTGGACCTGTTGGGGTTGGACCCCAGCAGGGAGAGAGAGATAAAAACATCAATGATGAAAGAGAATCATTGATCTGCTGCCTCCTGCACCCCCCACACTGGGGTTCGAGCCTGCAACCCAGGCATTTGCCCGGACTGGGAATCGAACCATGACCTCTTGGTTTATAGGTTGATGCTCAACCACTGAGCCACACTGGCCAAGCAAAAATTTATCTTTCTAATTCTTTCCTTCCACTTAATTTTATGAGGTCACTGGTACCACTTCCTGGCTTTTGTCATCTTTTATCTTTTTTTCCTCCCCCTTTCCAATAAGGGGTGGACCAATGGTAAATTAAGGAGCTGAGTTTCACCTCTCTGAAAGAGGTCAGGTTGCAGATGCAGCTTAAGGTTTGGGCCATGCTCTGGGAGAACACGGAAGGCTCATGGGCAGTGATCCATACAGCAAGGTTAGGCCTGGGGTCCATAGAGACAGGGCTGTCATGGAATTGGGCCCCCACTCTTCACAGACCTGAAATGCAGAGCCCCTCTACATGCTAGCACTGGGCTCTGGCACGGAGGCATCTGCCTGTTTGCTGAAGAACTCCCCCACTTCTCTCAGGTAGTGTTTCTTAAACCTTCTGACTGACATGCATGGTGGGAAACATATTTTACTTCACAATTCATCTTGGTCAGGGTCCACTAGTCAGGGAAAAAGAAACCAGAGAATGTCAACAGAGAGAATTTGGCAAAGGAAACTGATGAGACAGATGTTGGAGGACTGAAAATTTTAAAAAGAAACACTGGAGGAACATGTAAATACTAATTGCAAGAAGCAGCTACTGGGCCTGAGGTCAAAGAGAGGAGGTTCGGTTATCAGAACCCAGGGCTTCCAGGAGTGGTGCCATGGAGCTGCCACCCAGACTTCTGAAGAGGGGCACGGCCTAGCTGACACTGGTGGTCTGGTGGTTCTGGAAGTGCAGTAAGAAGTGGAGACAGGAAATACTGCTACCAGGTTGTGGCGTAGAGACTGTCCCAGACCCACAAGCTAGATCCTGGCCAGAAGAGAGATTGCTTCCTGTATACCCTCAGAGACTGTCTGATCGATCCCTCCTATGCTCAGGCATGCTGGTTGCCATGCCCTGGACAAGCATGGAAGGAATTTCCCCATTTTCTAGGGTGGGTTACATGCCAGTATCCCCATCTATCCTGCCTGTTCTATGTAATTCTGTAGCACCTGTCATACAGCCTGGAAGATACCCACTTATCTTGCCCCTGCCCAAGGCATGCTTCTGTTAAAAACCTGTTGATCGGGGCTCAGCCAGCGTGGTTCTGTGGTTGAAGGTCAACCTATGAACCAGGAGGTCACGGTTCGATTCTCGGTCAGGGCACATGCCCAGGTTGTGGGCCTGATCCCTAATAGGGGGCATGCAAAAGGCAACCGATCAATATTCTCTCTCATCATTGATGTTTTTATCCCTCTCTCCTTCTCCCTTCCTCTCTGAAATCAATAAAAATATATTAAAAACAAAATAAAACTCTTGATTTGGGAAATTTCATGAACACAGGCTAAAGAGGACATTGCTGAGGTGATGTTGATAGGCAGAGTACACCAAGAGGGCGCAACCATGTGAGCAAGCTGCTTTCCCTCCTCCAGCCTTGTGCTCTTCCTGTAGGTCCCCTGGCAGCCAGATGACAATGGAGAAATGTGCTTTGCATAGTTCCAGATCCACCAATACAAAGCAGTAGATAGAGGGTAGGTCTGAAACTGAAAGACAATAGACCAATAACTACTGTGGAGGAAAAGAGGGATTCTATAGAAAGTAACCTCATAGGGTGATCTGATCATAAATTCCTAACTGGGCAGGTCATGGTGGGTAGTCATGTCCCAGGCATATAACTTTTTAGTAAAAGGTTTATCTTTGCCTTAAGCAAGCCTTGTCCACTGTTTCTGTCTTTGAAATAAACTTAACACTCCTCAAGCGAGCCCATAATCTTAATTATCCTGTAATCTAATCCCCCCTTGCTTTCTCCCACCTCCATGTAATCTTCTGATCCCCACTTGATTTCAAATGCATAAAAGCAGCTGCAATACTGTTATCCTCTGGAGTATTTGAGATCTTTCTCCCCAGCATATGTTGCCAGTTTGGCTCAAATAAACTCTTACAAACATTCTCTACATTGACACTGCCATACATTACTTTACCAGAACTATGAGCACACACTCTGCATTTAACCTTCTTTTGCTTTGTGTTCTAAGTTACTTTACCTTACTCTATCTTACCCTATCCCATTTTAAATATTAAACAGCTGGGTGGGATCCATCAAATTGATTTCATAAACCACTAAATGTCATTCTAGAACACTTTCAAGGATAGTGTTGACTTTAAGTATTGGAATTCAGTGCCATTTACCTCTAAACCTCCCAAGGAATTGCCTCCCAAGGTAGCCATCCACTGCATACATATGGGGGCTCACACTCTTCCACAGGCTTAAAAATATTTCTATTAACAGGCTGCAACAGCATGGATGGAACTGGAGAGCATTATGCTAAGCGAAATAAGCCTGTCGGAGAAAGATAAATATCACATGATCTCACTCATTTGTGGAATATAATGAACAACATAGACTGATGAACAAAAACAGATCCAGAGACAGAGAAGCATCGATCAGACTGTCAAACCTCAGAGGGAAGGTAGAGAGGGTGGGGGTAAGGGGGAGAGATCAACCAAAGGACTTGTATGCATGCATATAAGCCTAACCAATGGACACAGACACCAGGGGGATGAGGGCATGAGTGGGGAGGGGGGGGGGTGGGGAGATAAGGACACATATGTAATACCTTAATCAATAAAGAAAAAAAAAAGAGGCTGCAAATGTCTTGTATTGCACCAGAAGGGGACAGCTCCCAGAGCCAGGCCTTCCTTCATTCCACGCCGCCCCCTGGTAATCAGCACACATCATAGCGAGCGGTGGAACTCCTGAGGGGACAATTTGCATATTAGCCTTTTATTGTATAGGATTATAAAGATGTTTTGGGGAATACCCAGAAATCTACATCAGAGGAGCTTAAAATACAGTGAGAAGACAAAAGCCAACGAGTAAACAACACATGAACTTTCACTAAGCAGCATGGTTAGTTGTCAAGTGGGTAACATCAGCAGGAAACACTGAGTACTGAGCAGGGTGATATGGTTGTGAGCAAGAACAATCTGGAAGTTTTCATGTAAAGGCCTGGACTAGTCCTTGCAGAATAGGTAGGATTTAGCGTAGATGGTAGCATTCCCAGTGAAGAAAACACCAAGAACAGTAGAACAAGTAAGGAGCACATGGGATGCTCAGTGCAGTGCTGAAACTTAGGCATCAGAACTAGCAAAGAAAACCTGAGCACCAACTGGAGCTGAGATATGGGATCTTGGTTATGGAGAGGGTGTATAGACTGAACATAGGGAACTAGTCCCACATTTAAGGAGCAGGTCCAAGAGCTGGTGAACAACACAATGAAGTACGCTTTGACAAAGACCAAAGTCATGGACCATTAAGGAGGGTGGTGAACAAAGTCGAATGCTACAGAAGCCCACACAACTAAGCAGTGAGGAAAACCTCTGGCTTTGAACCAGATGTGCTGTCTCTTTACCAAGGGTGGCTCTTGACCATATTGTCTATCTGTGTGGATCAATCTGTTATCACTTTCAGCTCCATCTTTTGGGTTTGCACACTGTGTTTAACTATCATAGGAACTGGTCCAAAGTATCCAGTGATAACAATAAAGTTCATAGTCAGTCCTCATTACTTTCCATCTGTCCAGAGCCATGTGAGGTTTTTAAGGTCTTCCTTCCATTACTGCCCTCCTTCTGCTCACTGCAAAGCAGCTATTTCCTTTCACTGCTGTCATCCATTCTCCGTAAGCGGCTTGTCCAGCTTCTCTGATTCTTTGGGATCCCAATTTCAAAACACAAGGAGGGTGATATGTTGGGACCTTGCATTGGGAGACTACACTGTAACCGTGGCCAGCTGCCTTGCAAATGCAAGTGACTGGTCACAAGGGAAACCAGATGAGGGATGGATAGATCAGGTGAACCAATCACCCCAACTACAAAACATGTGTTCAGCTGATAGCAGATTAGTATCATCTTCTCCAGGAGTAAAGGAGAATCTATTTAAATGCTCATTATATATGCAGAGCTGTGACCAAAGTGTTAGAGGTGACAGGTCTGGGTGTTGCTTCTGTAAGGATGTCATTATTGCTTAATACTCAGATTTTGTTTTGGATTTTATTACTTGAATATTGTCATTTCTTCTGCACAATATAAGTTATGATCATGTAGACTTTGGTTTCTTTTCTTTCTCTTAGACATCAGATTCCAGCTAGTATCAACTGCTTCCTCATTTATACTGAATATGTAGGTAGCTGCTTAATATTTATTTATTTACTTACATGTATTTTTTAAAGAGAGAGAGAGAGGAAGGAAGAGCAACATTGATGTGAAAAGTGGAACACTGCTCGGCTGCCTCCTGCATGCACTTTATCGGGGATCAGGCCCCAACCCCGGCATGTGCCCTGACCTGAAATCCAACTGTGACCTCCTGGTTCATGGGTCACACTCAATCACTGAGTCACATTGGCTGGGCTGCTTAATATTTTTTAACTTTGCTGTGGGATGAATCAGATAGAGTATGCATATATATACTGGCCTGAGGAATATTATTTTAATAGCTGTCATTAGAGTTCCTGGTGAGGCAGGTATTTTCTTTGTACAGAAAAATACTTTGATAAACAGTTTAGGAATGGGAGGTGGCCCTGAAGCTAGGATTAGGAGATAGAGATAACTAAAAGTACTGTATAAAGAAAGGAAGGAGGATGGGACCAGAAAGATGGTGGAGAGTGGGAAGTTCCAGTTTATATTGAAACTAGAGGCCCAGTGCACTTGTGCACCGGTGGGGTCCCTCGGCCTGGCCTGTAGGGATCGGCCGAAACCGGCTCTCTGACATCCCCCGAGAGGTCCCAGATTGTGAGAGGGTGCAGGCCAGGCTGAGGGACCCCACTGGTGCACAATTGGGGCCGGGAATGGATCGAGGGAGGGCTCCAGGGAGTGTCCGGCCCCATCTTGCCCAGTTCTGATTGGCTGGACCCCAGCAGCAAGCTAACCTACTGGTCCAGTGGTCGGCAAACTCATTAGTCAACAGAGCCAAATATCAACAGTACAACGATTGAAATTTCTTTTGAGAGCCAAATTTTTTAAACTTAAACCATATAGGTAGGTACATTGTTATTAACTTAATTAGCATACTCCTAAGCTGGCCTTTGCTAAAAACATCCTCAATCTGATTGAGGTACGTTCGCTGAGGTCGACCCCTTCCAACTCTCCCATCCACACTCGTCTTGTATACTTGTTTCGTCTATCTCCTTTCGTTCATCCTCTCTATATGTCCAAACCATCTCAACATACCTTTCTCAATCCTCGACACTACATCTTCTTTCACTCCACAATGTTCCCTAAAATTAACTTAATAAACTTTACTTAAAGTTTTAAGTCTTAAACTATCGGTACGTTGAATAAAACTTGATATCATACTTAATAATGATATTATTTATTGATAAAATTAAATTCCTTACAATTTACCTTACAATATCCATAAAATTAAATCATGACAATGACTGACAAACACTAATGTGAACAATGGCCTTGCATCTCCTTGGAAAGTTTGGGTAAGTCAGGTTTGTATGTTGTTGCCCGCACGTGGTATTTTGTGGAAGAGCCACACTCAAGGGGCCAAAGAGCTGCATCTGGCTCCTGAGCCGTGGTTTACCGACCACTGTACTGGTCAGAGCGTCTGCTCCCTGGTGGTCAGTGCACGTCATAGCGACTGGTCGAATGGTAGAACAGTCAGACACTTAGCATATTAAGTTTTTATTATACAGAAAAAGATGGGGCCAATGGATACCAATGCCGTTAGGATACAGAAGAACTTAAAGAGCAGGAATTATAATTTTAGGTTATTTGCATCCTTCATTTAAAACCTCAGTTGCTCCACACCTTCAGAAGAGTCTGCTATACAAAAAACCAAAGAAAAGGGTTTGATTTCCGAATTGTGTGTCAGCAGGAGAGAAGAATTGCAGGAGGTAAGATGTGAGGGAGTCTACCTGTTCAGAGAAAGCATAACTTGGAGCCTGAGAGCGTTAAGCCCCAGGGGATGTGTGATCTTGGAGATCACACAGGAGGTGAAAAAGGGACTTGAATCAATCTCAAGAAAACCTCTGTGGACAAGGTGACCTTGACTGGAATGGGATGACGTACACATTAGCTTGCTATTTTCTTTTTAAAATATATATTTTATTGATTTTTTACAGAGAGGAAGGGATAGGGATAGAGAGTTAGAAACATCAATGAGAGAGAAGCATCAATCAGCTGCCTCCTGCACACTCCCTACTGGGGATGTGCCTGCAACCAAGGTACATGCCCTTGACCGGAATCAAACCTAGAACCTTTCAGTCCCCAGCCCGACGCTCTATCCAGTGAGCCAAACCAGCTAGGGCTAGCTTGCTATTTTCAATCATACTTTCTCAAGACACATTTATTACTAGAAAATGACAGGGTCAGTAACCCCACCTCCCTTACCCATTTATTAAATCTCAGGCCTCATTTTCCTCAAAATCTGGAAATTAAGCCTAAACTAACGCTATGGTTTTTATGAGAGTCTACAGTTCTAATAATAATCTTGGAGATACAATACAAATAACAGATTGGTGGTTGCTAGAGGTGGGAATAGAGGGTGGCTGAAATGGGTGAAGGGGGTCAAAAGTACAAACTTCAAGTTATAAGGTAAATAAATCCTAGGATGTAAGTACAGCATGGACCCATAGTTAATATTATCCTATCTAATAATAGAGAAACTGCCTAATAGGGGGGAGCTCCCCAACCCCCTGATCAGCCCTGCTCTGTGTGTGACAGGGTGCAGCGCCCCAACCCCCTCATGGGCCCTGCTCTGTGTGTGACGGGGTGGAGCCGCAACCTCCCCATCGGCCCTGCCCTGAGTGTGACAGGGGGAGTGCCCCAACACCCTGATCGGCCCTGCTCTGTGACAGGGGGCGGTGCCCCAACCCCCTGATCGGCCCTGCTCTGTGCCTAATAGGGGGGAGCTCCCCAACCCCCTGATCAGCCCTGCTCTGTGTGTGACAGGGTGCAGCGCCCCAACCCCCTCATGGGCCCTGCTCTGTGTGTGACGGGGTGGAGCCGCAACCTCCCCATCGGCCCTGCCCTGAGTGTGACAGGGGGAGTGCCCCAACACCCTGATCGGCCCTGCTCTGTGACAGGGGGCGGTGCCCCAACCCCCTGATCGGCCCTGCTCTGTGCCTAATAGGGGGGAGCTCCCCAACCCCCTGATCAGCCCTGCTCTGTGTGTGACAGGGTGCAGCGCCCCAACCCCCTCATGGGCCCTGCTCTGTGTGTGACGGGGTGGAGCCGCAACCTCCCCATCGGCCCTGCCCTGAGTGTGACAGGGGGAGTGCCCCAACACCCTGATCGGCCCTGCTCTGTGACAGGGGGCGGTGCCCCAACCCCCTGATCGGCCCTGCTCTGTGCCTAATAGGGGGGAGCTCCCCAACCCCCTGATCAGCCCTGCTCTGTGTGTGACAGGGTGCAGCGCCCCAACCCCCTCATGGGCCCTGCTCTGTGTGTGACGGGGTGGAGCCGCAACCTCCCCATCGGCCCTGCCCTGAGTGTGACAGGGGGAGTGCCCCAACACCCTGATCGGCCCTGCTCTGTGACAGGGGGCGGTGCCCCAACCCCCTGATCGGCCCTGCTCTGTGCCTAATAGGGGGGAGCTCCCCAACCCCCTGATCAGCCCTGCTCTGTGTGTGACAGGGTGCAGCGCCCCAACCCCCTCATGGGCCCTGCTCTGTGTGTGACGGGGTGGAGCCGCAACCTCCCCATCGGCCCTGCCCTGAGTGTGACAGGGGGAGTG